TGCACTTGGAAATAAATAACATAAGAAACAACAGATCAATCTGGCAGCTATCAACAAGTGCCAACAAGCCTGGAGGTACTGGGCTAAAGGCAAAATTGTTCCCTCTGCAATCCATCCACAAGATAATTAAGAAATGCTTATTTTTAATTTTTTTAATCCAAGTGAAAATACCTTTATTGAGAAAAGGGAAAAATGTACATTCTTGTAACTTAGATTATCTACTTTACTGAACACAGGAGTATCAATCAGAAAATTGGCACTGCTTTATAATAACTACTAAAATAATATCTGGGCATACTAGAAAAGTAGGTAGTTAAAAACCTACCATCTCAAAACAAACCCAACCAACCTTTCAATTTGTAAATGAACAGGGAAATTATTAAACTGAGCTTAATCAGTTATTAGATTAGAGCTTAGATTATTTTAAATTAAATATGGGCAAAGAGCATCTAGATCTGTGCTGTCCGATGTTAGCCACAAGGTACATGCAGCTATTTAAATATAAAATTAATTTAAATTAAATAACATTTAAAATTCAGTTCCTCAGGTGCACTAGCCACCTTACAAGTGCTCAATAGTCACATGTGACTAGCAGCTATCTCATTGGACAGCACAGAACACTTTCATCATCACAAATAGTTCTATTGGACAGTGATTAGACCCTCAATTTTCCTTTTGACTTTTTTCAAGAGAGCCAATGGAAAGAGTAACTCAGAAGACCTGAGTTTTCCAAATCAGTCACTAATCAGCTGAGCAACTATGTATACATCACTTAGTAGAGCTTCTAGACATGAATATACATTTGAATCACCTGCAAATATTGTTAAAATACAGATTTTAACAAATTCCCATGTGATGCTAATACTGCTGGTCCAGAAATCACACTTTGAGAACCAAGGTCTTAGATCTCTCTGGACCTCAGTTTCCTTAGCTGTCAAGTGATGTACCTGGGAGCAAGATAATGTCCATGACCCCTTTGTAAACACTAACATTTTATAGTTTTATGGTTGTACAGAATTAAATGCACAGAGATTTCACCCTCTCTGCAGAGGCACAGTCTCTTCCCTGAAGTAAATGCTAGGATTCTAACAATTTTTGATACAATTTTTTTCTGTGAAAAGACATATAACATTTAAATGAAAATCAATGGAAAAATGAGATTTGCTATATAAACATTCAAACTTTTCAGAAATGGATTTAAAAGGCTAACATGTATTAAAGACAAACCTTTTAAAAACTATCAGAGGAGCACACTATATTTTCCAAACATGCAGTTCATGGAGGAAAAAAAACAATGCTGGACTCAGCTTATGCCACTGTTACTGTAAAAGCATCAGCTCCACATGAAAAGCAACTCCCTGTAAATAGCCATTAACGACAATAACATTGTTTTTGTAAAGTCTCAGTCAGGGCTATGAGCAATAAAACTGACCAAAATCCCGATGCCACTAGCAGCATGTAATGTAACAGCCCACAAAACAGGCAGAAGGAGCTGACAGGAGGCAGCCAACAATGCCACAAAGAATTTACTCTTGAAGCATCTTTCTATTTTAACAGGGGCCCAAGAGAAACACATGGTTCAAGTGAACAAGGAACTGGATAGCAGTTGATAAGGCTCACCATTTCATAAGGCAATACCTCATAGAAAAGAGATGGGGTAAGATATCCAGCTGGTTTATAAATTCTGAATTATGCACGACAGCTAATTGCCTATATTCTTACACACACACACACACACACACACACACAGGGAATGTGTACTGGAAGTACATGTTTAACCTCTAAGTGATAGGATGCTTTGAAAATCTATATTATAATACTTTTATATTTGAAATTTATGTTTCCTTTAATTTTAAAGTTTGAATTAATCTTTATTAAAGTTCCTCTATATAAACTATGCAATACTCTCCCAAAATCTCTCCCAAGATTTAATTCACATTAACAATACACATTATTGCTCACAAAGCTTTTCATGTAAGTCACTTTGAGAAGATAAATACTATACAAAGAAAAACGAGGGAATGGGGAGTTTTTTTCTTCTCACTTCTAAAACAAACTGCTACTCTCAATCTTTTTTTTTTTTCAATGTCATTTTAAGCCAACCTGCTAAATGATGGCTTTTTAAAATCAGCCAAAATATCTTAATTACCAAATATCAGTGTATGTCCTAAATTTGGAACTGTACATTCAAGCTTATCTTTAAAAATAAGACTGATGGAAAACATTGCCTATAACAATACCAATTTCAAGCTGTCTTTATTAAAACTAAAAACTTATAGATCAGATCTATTTCAAGTCGTGTTTATTAAAATCAAAAACTCATATAGATCAGGAGAAAGCACTATGTATATAATTCCATCAGAATGAAATGCTCATGTTCAGAGCAATAAATGATTAAATATTTCTGCACCTTTACAGACTGATTTAAACTAACTTCCAGATACTATAAAGATAACTTTTACATTACCAATGAAAATATAAGGTTAATTTCTCCCATGCCAGAAAAGTACTATCTGTCCTTTGTAAATAACCTGTAACAAATATCAACAATAACCAAAGAACTGCTAGTATCAAACATTTAATTGCAACAACTGACCAGCAATTTTACCTTTCCTCTCAACAAATGTTACAAAATTCCACCTGTAGGATATGATAGCCTTTTAAAATGCAATTTAAGAAGCCATTACTTTTTTAGAGAAACTGTAGTTCTGAGACAGAGAGAATAAGGATTATAATGCGGACAGAAATATTTTAGCCTATCATTTAAAAAAAATACAGTGTATAAAAAAAAAAGCCACGTAGCAGTGTGGGCAGGATGAGTCATCATCCAACTCAAAACTTGCAGCACTTCAAGCTTCCTCCTACCCGACCCCATCCCCTTCATCCATGTACCCTGAGTCAGCAAACCTTACCATTTTGTCAGTTATGAATTCTCACGATGCTTAAATGAACTTATGCAAAACACTGCAACACTTTTAGTACTAACACTTGTCATTAGAACATGTGCTTTTTCTATTGCAAAATTAACTGATCTTCAATCTTCTCTAGATTCTTTCTTAACCACAGAAAGTTGTCAAACACTGCTTTTAATTTTCTTTTGCAAATTACTGAACTCCAAAATATGGTCATATATACAGGATGCCAAAAAAACGTATACACATTTTAAGAAAGGAAAAAACTGTATTAAATAGTACTCAATATATACCGATAACAAAAGGTGAATGCAAGTCATATGTATACATGTTTTTGGCACCTCCGGTATAAAGGTTTTTATAAACAATTCTCCATTTCTCAGTGTTTTTTTCTGAATAGTGGTATCTAGGTGATAAAACATGTTCTACTCAAATTTGGCATTTCCTAGATGACAGCAATTACTGAATTTAGGACACCAATAAGCAATTTTACAAGTTTCACAAGGCAATGCTTAGAATGTGATGTAACACATATGAAAGGGCTTTACACAACTTGGCACAGCAAGACTTTCATAAACACGTTTGAACAACTAATCGTTAAAGATATGTAAAATTTCTCCCACCCAATTCAAAATTATTTTTCAAACGTTAGAATCTGACATTTCTAAGAGAAACTCTAGAGGCAGTGCCCTCTTTGGACCCTAGTCAGATTACTCTTTCCATCTCAGTTTCCCAACGTCGAAGAGAGACCCTGTGTCCAATCGAAACTTTAAAAAATAACAAGGTAAAAAGAATCAAGCAATCAGAAAATTACTCGGAAGCAGTCTGCGCTCCATTTTGTCCCCTGTTAATTTTTTCTCTCTTCTCTCTCTCTCAACGAATCACCTTGTATCCGTAAAATAAGTTAATACTGAGACTGACTTCAAGGGCAATTTTTGCACTGAAGGGAAAAAAAACATGAATTTTGCTGCAAATACAGCAGGATTATAATTCCACATCACCAGTTTCCTTACTGGACCTTTTCCAATAAGCAAGCAAAGGAAAAAAATAAGACAGGAAAGAAAGAAAAAAGATCCTGCTTCACAGAGCTCCCACGTAACACCTGAACCAGTAGAGTCGTACTAAAACAAGGAACAAAAGGCGGCCAAAACACCTTTACTTTTCAACGCACCACACCAAGTCAGATAAAAATACACAGCGAAGTCAGGAGGCCCTTTTCAGTCAACTGACAGAACAAGTTTTCATTTGGGTCCTTTCACCGACCACCCCTCGACGTCCCGAACGCAGCTAAGGAAAGGCTGCAGGCGAGGGGAGGGAGGAAATTAGGAATTCCGACTCAGACCAGTTTTCTGTACCTCCTTTACGGCTAGACTCAAAACTTGGGCAGAGGACTTCAGGGCTCTCAGACGAGCCGGGCGAGCGGCGCGCTACGCAATTTGCCGAGTCCACTGGAGACTTTGCCCGGCCGGAGTCAGCTGAGGCCGAGTCACCGGAATGGGATGGGGGAGGAGACGCGGGAGCATTTCGAAAGGCAACGTGCCAGGAAAGCGAGACTCCGCGCCACCTCATGCTCCCCGCCCGGGCTGCCCCTCCCGGCCGCCGCCCCTAGCCCGCCGGCCGGGCTTCGAACCTGGGGAACCCGGCGCCGGCAGCAATGCCGCAGCCGGCATGCTGGGGGCCCCCGGGGCTGGCGGGCGCGGCCCGGCCGAGGTGCCGGCGAGGGGCGTGCCGGGTGGGAGGG